GGATTTATTTATTTTGTTTTTATTTCTTTTTTATTTTTTTATTCGTGATTTATTTACGAACATTGATATTATACTATTATTAACACATTTACATTTCTATTTTGTTATATGTACATGGATGGATATAGAATAAGATTATGAAATATTATTTGATTAATTGTGTGTTTAATAATTAACGTCTCGATTATGTGCATTAATAATAATAATTATTATTATTATTATTACTATTATAATTATATTATTTTTATTATTTTAGGAAGATAAAAGAGTATTGTATAATATTAAAAGTAATATATATGATAGATAGTTTACAAATTTGATAGTTTGGTATAATAGAAATTCAGAATATTATTTTACTTCACATTATGTAATATTAATTAATACTTTTCAATAGTACAATAATAGTAATAATAATAATAATAATAATAATAATAATATCTCTATCATTATTACAGAAGAAACAATTATTATATATTTTAATGAAAAGTAATATTTATAATGAAAATATTTTCATAAAAGTTGGGAAAAAGGATGTTAATTAGAAGCAACACATCGGGATCATTATAATAGATAATTGATAGTTGTCGGTGTTGGTACATTTATTATATTGTGTTAACTGTTAGAATGAGTAAAAGATCGAGTGACGTCTCGTGAAATTAGATCACCGAAATTTCTCAATTTCTCGGAATAATCGTTCGACGTTAATTATCAGAAACGTCTTACTTTTGTTACTAACATTTGCCAAAGAAGATATTTACTCTGGTCCGCTATGCAATACTTTGAGATAGTGAAATAGAAAGAGATTGATCGTGAAAGTTAAATTAATAGTTACATTCGTGAATGTTAAACACACACACACAATTTGCGAATGGGTATATATATATATATATATTTCATTCTGAAGAAAATCGACGATTAACGTCACATCTTTGAGAGATTAGTATAACTCGGAGAAGTTTGAGTATTCGGACAAACGATCATTTTCAATGTACCTGCAATGATTAATTTGCGTTATGTCTTATCGTCTTATTTCCGTTTCCGAGGTAACGAAAACCCGTCATTAACGTTTGATTATATTTGTCTGTTTGTTAATACGTTTGTCTGTATTTCTATGCGGTTTTAAGATGGATCATTAACGATAGCACATTTCAAATAAGAAAAATCTTTATGTAAGACAAATAAAACAAATTTTCACTAGAAAATATTGTTTATTTGATTTTAATCGAATTTTTTGTTTATTCGTGTCTGTACGTATGTTTGTTTTTAATTTCAATATAAATGCATTCGAAATATTGTGTCATTTGTTGTTCGATTATGCATGTACGTGTTCCTTATTTTTTTTTTTTTTCATAATTGTAATAGCAAATGAATGAATGGGAATAATTTATTGGCAATTATGTCGGATATTTTAATCATGATTATATTTATACACGAATAAGCTATTTGAAATAATATTTCGGTTTATCTTACTTCGTAATTGGAAAATTGTATTATATTCGCAATATCGAAATGAGTGATTATAAATACGAATAATTTATTCGAGATGATCATTTACGGTCAGACGCGAAAAGTAATTGGAGTAATTTAACGTTAAAGCTCAATTTAATGTTTTAACAATAATTTCAATGTTATTCTTTCAAAATGGCGAGAAGTAATTATTGAAAATCATAAATAAATGTATAGAAAGAGAAAGAGAAAGAGAGAGAGAGAGAGAAAGTAATAACTCACGTGAACGAGAGAATCAATTGTGGTTGTGGTAGAAAAAATTACCAAAAAAAAAAAAAAAAAGAAAAAGTGTATGGACAGGAATATACAAAACCGACTACATGCATATGTAAAATACGTACGCGTGTAATGTTTATAGATGCAATCAAAAAGTACGAACATACGCGTTCGAGATGCAAAACTGGCACGTTTATAAACTCAATGATGCGGATTCTCGATAAATCCGAATATCGATCTTTTACTGGTATAAATCTTCAAACTATTCAACAATGAAATTTGTTATAAATTGGCGAATGACCAAACGTATTAATAATCAATGGACGAGCTAACTTTTATTTTCATTTCATTTGATTTTATTTATTTATCCGATTTATTCGATCATCAAATAATTATTGACATGCAACGTGTATGTATGGAAAGAGTTTGAAAAAAAACAAAAATTTATATATACAAAGGGATTGGACGATTCTAAACCGGATTTATTCGACGTTTAAATAATCATTTTTGCGGGAGGAAAACGAAAAAATATTAAAACGAATCAAATCTGTCAAGTTTTTGTTTTATTTTCGATTACCGCGTGTTTTATTTTCAGTGTAAACCCAATAATTCGTATCTGGGTTCTCTGAATATCGTTATTAGTATGTTGATTACGATGTTTGTGCGTATACATCTCTTTTGATTTGATTTTTTCTGTGATATTATGGATTACTTTAAAATAATTAATTTTTAATGAAAAATATCGCTTAGAGTGAGATATATTTAATACGATTTGCGATTATCAAAAGTTTTGGAAAATAATAAAATAAAAAAAGGAAAAAAAAATATCAAGTAATAAACATACGTGAGGAAGAAAGATTGATCAGCATCTTTCGTAACATATTTATTAATATATATTTATACACATATCTATCTATATATATATATATATATACACACTCAACCCTCCAATAATACGGTCAATTTGTTCCACGTTACATCGAAATGGTGTTTTAATTGAAATAAAACAGTTTTGAAAGAGAAAAAAATTTTCTTCTACATGAAAATCGTCCAATCAAACAACGTCTTGCTGTGTACAAGGCAAAAAAAAGAAAAATATAAAGAAAGGATAAACCGTGTTAAGTGAGTACAATTATACAAGAATATCAAGCGAACGTACAAACGTATAAAAAAGAAACAATATATATTCCGATGGATAAAAAACAAACGGAACAAATAAAATAATTAAAATATTAACAAATGAAAATCTCGCAAATTGGCAATCCCCGAGGATTTCTATTTTAACTTTAATAAGTAAAGAAATAGCGAGAGAAAAAAAAGGAAATAACATAACAAGCGAATAGAATGTGGAGGGAAGGGAAGTAAAGGGTAGGGGTTAGGGGTCAAAAAGAAAATGGCAGATGTTGTAAAGACGAAAAAGAAAAGTGGAAAGTAATGGGTAAGGGAAAAAAATAATATATAAACAAAAAAACAAAGAAAGGAAATTGATAAGCTTCGTCAGGGATTTTTCTGAAGAGAGAGAGAGGGAGAGGGAGAGAAAGAGAAAGAGAAAATCTGATGCTCGAATCGTGGAAAAATCGATTTTTTTTCTCAAATTTTGTCCTCTCTTTTCTCTAACCACCTCCTCCCTCACCCGCACCTCTGTTTTTGTTTTCTTCATACTTACAACAGAGTTAGATAGCAATTGAGTGTTTTTTCTTTTTTCATTCATTTAATAAATTAATATTTTTATTGTGTGTAAATATAATATATTAAAGAAATATGTATATATATATATATATGTATTGTTTTTCTTTTTTTTTTTCAAATAATATTTACAACAAGGATTGGAGAATTAAAATATATAAATTATTTATTCAATCTCATATAATCATTATTTCATAAAGGATTAGTAAATTAATCATGAATTTTGAGATTACAACGTACCGGATTATATCTCATATAACATTGATAAATGATTACTAATTGGTGGATAAATAATTAGAGTCAGTAATCACGAATAATACTATGATTTTACAATTATCATAATCTTCAATAGTTAATTCCATTACATTTTATCCAACTCTGATAGATGTACTTGTTTTTTAACATATCTTTTTTGATTTTTTCCTTTATTTTTTTTATATAATACGATTTATACTCTGATCTTTTCAAATAATAATCATAATCAATTTATCCGATCAAATTTAAATCAATTCTGATATTATGCACGCAGTTAAGTTATTCGTTTGAAAAAAATCTTTTTGGAATAAAATGTGAAAAACGATATATTACATTTCTTAGATAATTTATGATTAATATCTCGATATAATATATAATATCAATAACAATCATAATATTTGATTATTATTTCAATCGAAATTTTATCTAAAAATTCGAAATACGAAACATATATATTATTGTTTTTTCTTCTTATTTTAATTTAACTTTTTCACGATTCAAATTAAAATAAAATATATTCCGATTCAACGATAAAATAATCATCATTTTTAATCTATGATCGAATTAAATCGTATCCAAATATCAGCCGTGATGTTGTAGGTGTAGGGAAGGGAGAGTTGGGAGGGGTTGATTCTACGCGTACGTTGTTTTAAATTAAATTACTTATCTTTATTTTCTTTTCTCTCTTACGCGAAGAAAAAAAAAGTGTTTTTTTTTTTCATTGGAAATATTTCACGATTAAAATGATATACGTATAATTATAATAAATTCGTTCGTTTGACATTGCATGTATCATCAGTTGAACCATAAAGCAAAGGGATGAAAGTTTTAGTATATAACGGCAAGGTCGTGATTAGCGGAACAGGATTAATCTCGTGGACGGTTGTGCGAAACTGCGACGAGACTCCGAGCACCAACGGTTCTCAACGATGGATTAAGTTCAGTGAATGTGTGTGAGAGAAAGAGAGAGAGAGAGAGAGAGACAAAAACAGGGGGGAAACACTGAACAGAATAACAGACAGACAGACACACACATACAGATACACAGACAAAGTAAGAGAGAGAGTGGGGGGTGGGTTGGGGGAGAGTAAAGGGGTAGGTGGGACTGGCCCATGAAAGCTGCAGGGCTTTAGAGTTGCAAGTGTAACATAAACGATAGCCTTTTAAATCCCATAAGAGGGTTGCTGATGCCCTTTCCCTTCTTCTTCCTCTTCCTCATCCTCGTGATAGTTAACCCTCCACAGCCCCCAAGTCCCTTATCCTCATTCGAAAGTCTAAAGGGAAAGCAGGAGACAGGCTTCCGTCAGTGCTGCACTGCTGTTGTGTTACCCGTTGTGACGAAACTTGAATAGAAACCCTAATTTAAACGTTATGAACAAGGTTTGCCAGCGTGGAACAGACCATAACGCGAGGATAATATCTTTAGGCTATTCTTATGTTTGATCATGTTATTTCCAATATTATTTTTATTCGTTTGTTTTTTTTTTCGTAATATCTTTCGATGGGGGATTGATTTTGTTTTTCTTTTTCTGTTTTACTTGTCGTTTATTTGATCCCCGTTTTGGATTTTTATTCCTTTCGATTTTTATTTTCTTCGTCTTTTTGTTAATATCTTGTTTTTTTATTTTCTTTTGCATTTGCATTTTGCAACGGGATGTTTGTTTCAAATGTTTTGCTTGAAAAATATAACGTTCCTATCTTTCTCTTTGTCTTTTTATTTTTCTTTTCTTTTCTTTTCTTCTTTCTTTTCCCTTTACTATAAATTTTTCTCTTGGAAATATTTGTTGGTATTGTTTTTCTTTTGTTTATGTTCCATCCGTCGACGTCGTCGTCGTTGAGAAACAAATAATTTGACAAGTTTCAAGAGTACAGTATCTTTACGTTGTCATTATTTTCATTTTGTTCTTTTTTTTGATTTTATATTTTATTAGTTCGAATGTATTACATAACGATTTTAAGATTAATCGATTTAGTTAGTTTGTTATGATGTTACAAATAGATGAGGGGGAGAACAAAATTACGAAATTGCATGTGGTGGTTGCAGTAACGGGTGGAATGGGGTTTGGAGAAGCAATAAAAGGTCGTAGAGCAGTGAGGAAGCTAGAAAGAGAGAAAGAGAGATAGTGATATCGATGACTCTTTTAATGAATGATGTTCAAAGGGAAATGGGACATCGATTTTGGGTTTTTTTTTTTTTTTTTTTTTTTTTTTTTTTTCTTTTTTTTTTTATGGCATTGATTAAAAACGCATAATACCTTTGCGGCATACGGATTTTATTTCATTTTTTTTTCTTTTTTTTCTTTTTTTAGCTTTTCCAAACGAGTTTTAGAAAATGTATTCAACCAATTCGTCGCAAGAATATTTATTATGAATAATCGAAAATTCGCGAAATTTATTTGAACTATACGAAATATAAAACTCGTATGCCATATAATAAAAATTTGATAAGCAAAAATATTCGCAATGAAAAATAGTCTCCCATTTCTGTTATCGTTGATTTTATCTTTAACGGAAATTCGAATAAGATTTTATAAAAAGAAAAAAACAAGAATGAAACATTTCGAAGAAATTCAATTTCCTGTCTCTCTCGTATTTATTTTTTTTTTGTTTTTTAAATTAAAATCACGGGATATGGGGTAATAAGAATAATCAAAAAGGCAAGTCTCTCGTTTATATGTCATTAATTTCGAATAATCGAAATAGGAATAAAAAAATTCAATGAAAAAAAAGGAAAGAAATAAAATACCAAGAAAAAAATTAATTTCCTCCCTCTTTATATTATTTTTCATTTTTTGTTTATTCTTTTTAAATTGCTTGGGTAAAGGAAAAGTAATGAAAAAGTAAAGTCTCGTTTTTATGCGTAGTAAAATATTATCCGTATATTACATCCCCGTATAAATAAAGAAAGTTAATTAATTTCCCTTTCTTTTGTTACTTTGCATACGGAACAAAATTTATCCTAATTAATAAAAATATTCGCACAATTAAATTCTATCCGTGAAATTCGAATATAAAAGAAAATAAATTCGATAGAAAATAATTTGTTGACATTCGTTCGCGCGTTATTAATATATAAATAAATGAATAAAAAAAAAAAAAAAGAAACAGGGGGGAAAGAAAAAATGAAAAAACGTCTTGTTAATCGAATATTTAATAAATTCGATTAATTATTGTTGCCGTGTAAGTACTTAACGTGTAGAGAATGTTGTAATTCTAGTTGATTACGCATTAAAGCTAATTTGTAATTTACTGAAGTGAGATACACATATTCACAATTAGACCGGAACGAGGTATAATGGAGTAACATGTCGACAAGAAATTATTGTTCTTGATTATGCTATCTATGGGGTTTCCATTATTAATGAAATACATAAAATCGTAAGGATAAGTTATTCTAAGTAATAGATATTCCAGGATATTGATATTGTTAAGTCTCTTATCGAGAGGGTTTACATAGGATCACCAAGCGTATTAACGTGCGATTTGCCGATTAATTGATGTTGGAGATCTGGGTGGTGTTTGGGGGAAGGGGATGAGGGCTGGGGATAACACTGACAACAATGCGTATTATCGGACTCCCAAATGGGACGTTAATCGATCAATGTTGCTACGTTCTGTCTTTGATTGAAGTTAAACATGTGACGAGTTGAAATTAAAACGAGTCAAATCTAATGTGTATCGAGATTAATTCTAATTGAAGTTACAAAAAAAAGTAAAATCTTTTTAATTATCATTAACAACGAATCCTCTTAATGAAAAAAGAAAAAAGAAGACGTAGGATAATTGAATTTTATAATAAACGATCGAATCAATATTTCTTTTTCCCAGCAAGCGTGATCTTTTATGCGATTAAGAAGAAAAATATAATTAAATGTAAGAATTATAATAAACGATTTATAATATCCATGGGGATTACGTTGGAACGGACGATTAAATCGTATTACCTGTCAAAAGATAAAACACGCTTTGCTTTACATGTAATTTGGTACATCGATCGATACACGCGCATATATATATGCATATAGGGTTATGCGTGTATTACTCAAGTTAATTTCACTTTTTTTTTCTTTTTCTTTTGGATTCGTTGTAAAAGTATTGTGAACGATGTTAATGTGGTCGAAAATATCAGCATTCTTCTTCTTCTTCTTCTTTTTCTTCTTGTGTATCTTGGAAATACATTGAGAGTTATTATTCGACTATAGTCAAAGTTATTATAGTTAGTAATATTTCCCCCTTAGGTAATATAATCAAACTCGTTGGGTAAGTTATAGATTGGATTGAAATCGTTTACGTGATATTACAGGAGTATCTCATGGAAATTGCGATATGGTTCATGACATAGAACCTAGCCAAGACTTGCGTACTGACAAAGCTAGGATCGCGATAAGATCATCACCATTAATCATACCGAATGTTACGGGGACGGATCGCTAGATAATTCTTCCATCTGTGCACCAACATTCACCTATGCACCCACCACGCACGTGTGATTCTCACGAACTCGACATTTCCTATTCCCCCGTCCCTCCTCCGAAGTTTCCTCTTTCGCCATTTCACCATTTCTCTTTTTTCCATTCGAAAAAGTTTATTTAGATTAATTCGAATACTCACCGTCTCTCATTCGTACGAGACTTCTTCAAATTTCTTCATCACACACAGTTATTAACGCTAAACCTATTAACAGCTTATACGTAATTCTTATTTATAATTAATTTGAAATAGAGATCAAATGACCGGTGGTTATTTAATCGAAGGTAATATAATACGATGATGTTACAAAGAAAAATGTAAATTCATGAATAACCGATCATTTGAACACAATGGTACGTTTAGTGTTGATAATACACCATATAATATAGTTCATTAATGTTAGCTAAATTACTGTTTCAAATTATTAGATAATACAAATATTGAAATAACGATAATATATTGTAAGTATAATGATGAAAACTTAATTTTGTTAATTGACGAATAATATTCGATCGAAATTCGTATCATTTTGTAACAGTAATTTTTGCTAACCTTGGGTGAACATTTCCTAAAAAGACTATATTATTATTTATGATAAGATAATGATAAAAATGTGAGATATAATGAAATAATGTAATCTATGAGAAAACGTGGACGAAAATGTTGCTAAACTGTGTTGCATTGCTGCCGGGTTGTCGCCTTTGATGACAAGGACAAGTACACGTGCAGGTAAAGCGTTGCTGGTTTCGCAGGTGTAGTTGCCCGAATGTCGATCAGATGCACGTGGTACCTCGAGCCAACTTTCCCGTGCTATCAGATCGGTGCTGACATTGACGCCACGTTCTATGTCGTAGTTGATCATTCGATAGTTGTGGTACCAGAATAGATAAGACGGTGTTTCCGTTGACTTCCTGACGATGCAGTGAAGTTGAAGAGTACTTCCGGGCCTCACGTATTTCTCCGGGGGTCCGCTTATCTCCGCTCTGGCTTCTGGAAAACGAGCGAACAAACGAGAAAGAGAGAGAGAGAGAGTGAGAGGGAGAGAGAGAGAGAGAGAGAGAGAGAGAGTGCTGTTGAAACGTTTAATATGTTCTCTGTTTACCCCCACTTCGATTCCCACCTCCCACCTCCCCCCACTCCTTTTTCCTTTTCCATTTTCTTATCTACCCTTTTCATTTTTCTATTACTTTTTTTTTTCTATTTTTGTTTCTCTTTTATAATAAACGCAAGAAGGAGGAAGAAGGGTCGTTTCAAAGTATCGCCGTATCAAACCCGTCAGTATTTTACGGATTAATGATAGGAACGATCTAATTGCTAACTCGAGCGACACCATTTTTCTGAAGCTTCGGAGATAATATATCTCTTGGTATATTATTGAATTTAATAAAAAGAACATTGTCATATCGCGAGAAAAATGGATTATTATTTCGGTAGAATGCTTATTGTGTGTTTGTAATGTTCAAACAGAACATTATTCTTTTACAATATCGATTTTTTTTTGTTTGTTTTTTATTTATTATCTATTATAAACTTTTATAAACTATACTGCGATAACAAAATATGCTTTAGTATTTTTCTTTATTTTGTAAATGATATCAAATATCAAACCTTACCACCACCACCGGATTGCGAGTTTAATTATTCAATCGATAATATTGTACTTTACAAAACGAAAACAATAATTGAATATTTTTCGATTGAATTGTATGAATGGGTAAGCATCGATATATTCCAATTTCTAATCGACAGTTCGAAAACGATGGGATGAAAATAAAACGTCGTTGTTTAGAACTTTTATGAGTGAAAAGAAGAAAAAAAACACACACACACACACACACGTAGACACGTACAGGACAAATAAGGATTAAGTCTGGATAAAATTTGTAAGAATGTCAATCGCACGGGGAAACACGAAATGTAACGAATGACAAAGCATTCGTAAGAGTCAACAGACTTTGTTTGTCCAGTCCATTTGATTCGAAGTTTGTTCGAGTGTAATTGTAATAGTGATGTTCGCTACGAATAGAATTAGTCGATCACGGTCGAATAGACTTCAAATTTTCGTGGTCGTTGCTTTCGAACGATAAACCGCAAACAAATTTACCGATCTACGAAATCTTTCCTGCGTTTGCTTTGACCGATTAATACTATTCATTTATATACGATTATTCGGCGTTTATAGGAATTAGGTGTTGACGTTGATAGAAAAATAATCGATTAGAATTATATTATCGCAAAAGTTTGATAAGGATTTTATTTTCTAAGAGGGGTACCTTTCAAAATTGTTCATTCTTGTATCATAAATGTAACAATTAAAAATATAACATAGCATTATACAATATATTGGTAACGAATTGATTCGATATATAATTTGCAACAATTATATATTATAATTAAATTCATATTTTCATATTCTTATAAAAATAAAAAAGAAAAAGTATCTATTTTAATATTTCGATGATATGGTACAAATTATGTTTCTAAAATCAAGTGTTCTTTTTTTGTTTAATCTCAATAGGAATTCATGATCAGGTGTGCAAATGTTGCAATACTTCATTCGACGAATGCACTTTGCATTAGAACTTGACATTTTCCGATGTTATATATGTATACAGTTACGGTTCTTGATAATCGATATTGCAGATATTTGTTACTGTATAAATCGTGTACTCTTCCCCTCTTCCCCTCTTGTATTCTCCTCATATATAGGATGGATAATCGTTGTTTCGTTCTATCATCGTTATCATCGTTTTACTCTGTATAAATATTTTGTTTTTTTTTTTATATTTTTTTATCGTAAACATTTTATTTTAACGCACAAAATTTCAAAAAGGGATCGTTAATTTACCCGAGCTATCGAACAAATTTTTGGAAATAATTTTTTATAATATACGTACCGATTTTTTACGTTATCCGACATACACACACACACAAAGGTATTAATTGGTTATCGTATCGAAAGTTTTTTCATCCCACTCTCTCCTCTTTCTATCCGACCAAATTCTTTTTATCTACCCTCGTAATGTGTACTCGGTAATTTTAAAAGGTATAGGGAGGAAGGGGTGGAAATAATAATAAAAATAATAATAAGAAAAAAAAATAAAAACACGCGAACAAACGAAAAATATGAATAATAAAAAAAAAAGAAAACAAATAGAGAGAGAGAGAGAGAGAGAAAGAAATGAAAGAACCGGGAACGTAAAAGCTAATCGATAGACTCTTTCAAAAAGGGAATATAAAAACTTTGAAGAAAAGCAAAGTTAGCTATGGTAAAAGGGGTATGAAAAATTTCTGCAAGAGAAAACGTAGCGAAATCGGTAAACTTTTCGCAACGATTTATGTTGTTCGCCTAGCTTTTTTTTTTCTTTCGTTCGAGAAAATTTCTCTTTCTCTTTTTCTTTTTTTTCCTTTTTCCTTTTCCCTCGTTACTTTTAAAGCCGCTTAAACTCGTTTATACATACTGCGAATAATAGAGAATCTGAAAGCTTTTCGTATTTACACGTTGAATGGAACGCGACGAGTATATATCGACGAATTACTTACGAGAAAGGTCTTATTTAATGTAAACAAACAAAGAAAAATAGTGGGAGAAAGAATGAGAGAGAGACAAAAATATTTTGTATTATATTAGATTACGTCAAAAATGATTATAACATTTTTGAAACTTAAATATGTATTATAACGATACTCGTATTAGATAGCATGTAAATTTTAATATTACTTATTGAATGATTCAAAAGTATAATAATACACGTGGTATTGTATAAATATTGGCATCATTTTGAGTAAAGACAAAAAGAAAAGAGATAGTAATGTTTAATAAATATTGATTTATACAAGTAAAATACAAATATGATGAAAAATATAGCTCAATAAGGTTTCATTCGAGAAGTTGGATTTATAGTATTCTATAAAATTCGGATCTATAATTTGTATATTAGAAAAGTATTTAATATTTATTAAAATATATTGTGTGGGATATATATGTGTAAAAGAAAAAAATAATATAAATTTAGAAATAATATATTAATCCAAGAATGTGATATAGTATAGTTCACATTTAGGTGTTAATATTATAGTATATATAGTATTGTATAATATTGGATCAATTTAGAGAAAAGAGTAATAAACCAATTATTTTTAATAAATATTACGAACTCTGACATTAATTACTATCCATGCCAATAATTTTGATCTCTCTCTCTCTCTCTCTATATATATATATAGGTATATACCTATAATCATTTTTCTCCCAGTTTATTTCACAAAAACAAATTTATGAGAAATCTAATCGATGTGCGCAGAAACAGATAGAAAGAAATAAAGAAAAAAAGAAAGAAAATGATTGCTATTAAATGAGAAAACTCGAACGGATTAATAGAGAGATTGATGATAAATTAAAAGTATCGTGGCACGTTGTGTTATAATACGAATGAGAAAAAGGTATAACAGAAAATTATATGAAAAAAAGGAGAAAAGCAATTGAAATTGAAAGAGATAAAAGAATAAGAATAAGAAGGGGAAGAAAAAGAAAAAAAATAAATGATAAAAGTTTAACTAAAAGACGAATAAGAAAAAAATTAAAAAAAAAAAAAAAAAAAAAAAAAAAAAAAACAAAAAAACTCGATTGAGATTAAAGAGAAAAGTATTATGCGATAAATCGTTGAGAAGATTAAAATATGATGATTTGAACGTTGTTAGATCGGTGTTTTTATTGTATAACCGATAGACTCTGATAGACTTTATAAATGACACTGGAATAACGTTCGGCTTGCATTCGTGTTTGTAAATTTTCGACCATATCGATGATGCCTACAGGTGTATATTTGTATTAGTAAAAAGTAGAGTATAGTATAGAGTACAGTGTAACCCGATCGATTTGTCTCGATACTTTATTACGAGAGGGAGAGAGAGAGAGAGAGAAATAAAACAGAGAGAGAGTGAGATAGATAAAATAAAAAGTGAGATAGACGGAGATGAAATAGAGAAAGAGACGGACGAACGAACATTGAGAGAGAGAGAGAGAGAGAGAGAGAGAGAGAGAGAGAGAACAAAATATGGAACATTATAGCATGTTACTATTTTTTTTCTCTCTCTCTTTCTCTTTTCATGTCTCTCTCACTTAACAACTTTTCCTATATATGTCCAGTGGTATCGTTAAATCGTGGATTTGTTTTCCCACACTGTATATATAAACTTGCATATCTATATATACTTGTATACTTATATATATATATATATGTATATGTATAGGGTGGTTCTAGAATGTTATTTTACACAAAATTAATAAGTAATAAATTTATTATATGTAAATATACTCAAGAGTTTTCTTCTGTATGTAATATTTTATTGTTTCGTATGGTCACGTGATAATATTGTGTTAAGTTTGCGCTATTATACTTTTTTCTTACCATTAACACGTGAGAATATATTCTAATTTACTTCGTCGAGTTTTTTAATTTCTATTAAATGTGTGTGTGTGTGCGTATTGCGTTAGAAAATTGAATAAATTTATTAGCAACTATACATTAATAATTATTCTACGAGTACATTAAAATTATATTAGAATTTTATCAGATTTGTTACAGAATAATTGTACAATTAATTATTCCATTCGTTCAGGGAAATACGTGAAAATATATTATACAATAATTGACCATGTCCAATTTGAAATGAGTATTACACGTATGTTGATTAGAGTTATGTTATCGTTGCATCAGAGTTACATCAGGATTCTCGGTAAAGTAATTTGTGGTACACCCTGTATACATATATACATATACATATATATAAAATATATATTTATTTTGTTCGTTCACTTGTTGGTAGACCAAAACTTCCAGCATAATAAATGTCCCGTCCATCTATCCATCTAGTTGTCTTTATCGGCTTGTACGTACGCGTAGGAACGATGTTATAACATATATATATCTAGACACATATATCTATTTATATATACATATATGTACGTATAGAATATATGTATATAT